TGGGGGACTAAGAAAATTTAGAGGAAAAGGAAGTAGAGAGAGGGGGAGTGCAGTGATGGCTTTTTACTTACTTCGGCTTTCCATTCTCTGCAGCCTACAGCCTGTCTTAGCCAATTTGGTCAGCTATAAGTGTCTACATCAGAAAATTACTGGTTTTCTCTTCTGTTCCTATACTAACATGAAAAACCGATCCCTCATTGAATTCTCTTATCTTTCAGGCACGCCGTTGGTCACTATGAGCCACAAATGAAGTTGAAAAGCTATTGTCGTACAGAAGTGGTGTTCGGTATTGAGAGCACGATTTGCTACTGCCGTGACGACGACTTCTGCAATTCCTCGCCACCGTCGCCTTATCTCACCACCTCCCTGGGCACTCTCTTCCTATCCCTCTTGCTCCTCTTCCTTCCAGCCTTATGACGGCTTGTATACTATGATTCACCCATAATGAACGCGGGTCACTTTATCGCAACATGGAGATGCGGGTCCAAACCCAGGTGGCTGCAGTACGCGGAAATCCATACATTTCATATCAGGAGATGGGAGGGACCGTGGCTGCGTAGGTCCATCTAAGCCACCACGGCTAGATGTGTTTTACGTTAGATATGTCCATTTGATGCAACTGTAATCGTGTCTTGGTCCAAACGGTTTTCCAACGGTCCCAAAACGGCATTGTCCCACCAAAACCGCCACCGCTTCCATTAAAGTATGTACGTAGCCACGCCCATCGGACTATTGAATAGAGTTGCGCGTGGACAGGCGCGGGTTTTCGAGTTCTACACTCATCGTCCCAATAAGTCGGGCGGTGTCAGTAGTCCATCCGCGGCGTTTTCCGTTCACTACTGGTCAAAAAGGCAACCAAGGGCGGGCTCAGTTCATCCTTCCCAACACCGCCCCGACTGACCGCGGCGATATCAACTATACGTTGTGACGACGCACCTGAGAGGTACTATGAACGTCGCGTGTAGTAGGGTTCGCAAAAAAAGGGCCTAATCGCATTCAAAGCGAGTTGATACAGCATGTCGACCTAGGAACAGTAGCTAAATTGCGTGCGTCACCCCAAAGTGGATGTCCTGACCCACATCTCCGGCAAGGAAATGCGACGCTACTTATCTGTCTACTTATTCTTTATTAGGAAGAAGGTGAATCGTACTATACATAGTTCACCATGTGCATATATAGGTTTTACCTGTGCACACCAAGCTTTGTTGTCTTTCATCATCAACAATGATTGATTTATTGATTGATTTATTCGTGACGATTTATTGATTTGCATTCATCCCGCATCGACATATCATACATGTATTATGGCTAAGTACTCTTATAAATACTGTGTAGATTTCAATATATTATACATATATACTATGATGAGACGTAACACAATTGTTTCTATGTCATTGTTACAGAGATCGATCGATTACAGTGTAGTTGTTCAGTAAATATATTGATTTTTGTTGAATTATTGCATTCATTTGAAACTTACACAAAGATGGAAGACAAAGACGCTGAAAGAAGCGGCTTGTAGATCTTTTGAGTGTCTGTCAATGACGGTGTCTGTCAAGTGTCGGGGTTTACAGTATCTCTACAAAAGCACGCGTACAGTTCGCAAACGGTAGAGAAGAACGATCGACCAATCAGGCGTGCCAGTTCGACGCTGTGGGCGGAGCTACAGCTGCTATTGCAGTACTGGAACGATCTACAGCCTGCCTTATGACATCCGATCAATACACAACCGTTTTTACACATATGCACTGGATCACGAGCACCTAATCAATAAGACATAAATATATTAAATTAGCATGATGTATCGATTAATGTTATGGCAACGCTAGATCGATTGATGTAGATCTGAAGACGACAAAGTCGAAAATGCAATAGTTAACACGATTCGGCGTTTTGGCAACGATTATTAACAACGGGATATGACCAACACAACAACGTGGCTATTAACTACAGTACTATACATGGAGACGCAGATAAGATATGCGTCAATTTGTGGCCTAATTGACGCCAATCCGGTGCCACATACATACTGGCATACCGTGCTTTTTGAGCATTTGAATCCAATGTGCATGACCCGTGATGTCACCCATACGACCGATCACACAATGACCAACCGACAACGGTTGGTTATTCGAATCGTGATCAAACATCTGAAATTGTAACTGTGAAGGTAAAGTTTTAGTCATCCTACTATATAATAATCCGCTCTTGTGTGTCTGTGCTGTGTGACACTGTGTGTGTCGTGTGTGTGTGTGTGTGTCACGAAATTCATAGCGAGCGTCGCAGAAAAGATAGGATGACAGTTCCAAGAAGTGATATACATGGCAGGACGGGAACACTTTTGGTGGGTGTCAGGAGGTGATAACACTTGATAAGATACGATAAGGGGCCTTAGAAGGGGAGGGTGACCGAAAGTGTAGCGCGAGTTGCAGCAGCTGCAGGACCGTGATTTCAAGGAAGTGATATACATGGCAGGACGGGAACACTTTTGTGGGTGACAGGAGGTGATAACACTTGATAAGATTCGATAAGGGGCTTAAAAAGGGGAGGGTGACCGAATTCGTGGCAAGTTGCAGCAACGGCGGGACCATGATTTCAAGTACTGATATGCCGTAGGGTGGGGCTGGCAGAAGCTGATAACAGTTGATAAGATCCGATAAGGGGCCTCGGAAGAGGAGGGTCATCAAATTCGTGGCGCAGGTTGCAGCAACAGTGGGAACTCAGATCCGTGAGGTGATATAGGGTGTGGGACGGGAACATTATTGGCGGGCGACAGAAAGTGATAACAGTTGATAAGATACGGTAAGCGGCCTCGGAAGGGGAGGGTCATCAGATTCGTAACGCAGGTTACAGCAACAGTGGGGATCTCTGATCTGAGAGGCGATACAGGCCGCCGCCCCACCGCGGAAGAAGGTGAGTATGATAGTGACTACGGGGACGGGAGTGTTTTTTGGCCGGCTACGAAGTGATAGGAAGCTAAAAGACGTGGACGCAGGGTATAACATGGGAAAATCCGCTTCACCGCTCACAACAACAATGCGATCGATATGACTCAAGTATAACGATCTCAGTGATTCCAACAGAACTCATTCCTCACTGCTTATTAGTAACGACATCGTGTACGACCGCTAAGCCAGCTCTATTCCAAATGCATGTGGTTTGTTTACAGAGATGTTATGAACAGCAGCAACTGACTTTATCACTCTTACCACAATTATCTTCCATCAGCAACTTCAGTGAGGGCCATTTAAAGGGTTCCACTGCTGAATGCGGTAGCATTCCAAAGCAAGACGCTTTAGGAAGACAGATTGCATAAATAGGCTGCTTCAGTGGCTGTATAAACAGGCTGCACTATTTCCGTGTAGGTTATGAACGTACCAGTCGGATCGCTGGCTAAGGCCGGCTTTCCTCCTTCTGTGATGCGGGGGGGGCTGCTGCTGCTTGACGGAACAAGCGCTGCTTTTCAGTTCTTGGCTGATGCAGAAGATTCCTTTGAACAGTGTGGTTGGTCAACGATCCTTAACTTAGCACGCGGCAAATCCGCATGGCCCGGCGAAGCCGGGCCATGTCACAGAAGGAGGAGCGCCCGGCGACAGCCGGGCGATCCGACTGCTTATATAAAATAAATAGAATTTAAAGGACCCCATCAGTATTCTGTGGATCACTTCACGCATACCAACAAATATGTTCACCCTAAAGCAGTTAGGGGCACAATGGCTTTCCTACTTAGCTAAAATGCTAGTAGGCGCCGCGTGTAGGATAGTGAGCGAAAATGACGCGAAAGAACGCGAGTGAAAACTGGTCAAAATCCTGTGAAGAGAAGAGAGCCTCGCGGCTTCGTCCCGGTGACTTCTTGTGAATCGATTTCGGACGAGTTTCCCGTAGGCATCTTACCAATCACCGCTACCGAAGATACGGCTGCATATGTGTACCCATGTATGCATGCAGCATCACGGCCGCTTCATACCAATCCCTTCGCTTCATAATTTGCTTAGCAAATGAATGAATACGAGCGCGTTTCGAAAGGGCGGAAACGGTCGTCCATTGTGGGCGGGCGGGCGTGGCTGCGCGTTTGGACGTAAAGTTGTGGCGTAATACGGCCCGGCACGCTTCCTCTTTGGAAAACCACTATGCGCGCGCCTGCCCAGGGTCGCGGAATTCTGTCCTGCCAGGAGTATTCATCCTAGTTGCCTTGGGATTTATCGTGCCAAGTGCTTTTGAGATACTGAGCCTTCTGTCATTTGGAAAGACCAAATTCGCTGCGAGACAGCGTAGGTACACTGAAATAGTCGCATCGGGCCTCTCCCACATTCATTGTGCAGTTCTACCATCAATAAGTCGCAATTCTGAGAGGAAGTGGAACGGGTGCTGGCATCCCGGGCAAGAGGGGATCTGTCAACAAGCTAGAGACTCTTATCTCCATCCTTTACAGATGTTGCAGGAACCCCTTAGTGGGCAGTCAAAGTTTTTCCCCAGATGAGTCTGATACAATATATAGGACACAGCCCACGTTAACCGCTATGGGCGGAGACTCATCACCGATGTAGAAGGAAGAGAGCACTTATAGAGAGGCACGATGGTCCACCTCCATCAAATATAATAAACAAGGAATGTGCCTCAAATCGTCCCGTAGATACCGTGTTGATCAGGTCAGAATTCAGTCCGGAATTTGACTCTCGGAGCGTCACCCACCCTTAGACCACCTTTGCAGACTCTATTCTTTCAATTTCATTCTATGGGCACTAAGTTAACCAGAAAACGCAGAGTCAAAGGGCAAAGAGACGGCAATACTTGATGGCAAAATGAAATGAATAATGGGCATGCATGATCCACCAAGACCCTCGTTATATTGAAAAAGGTATTGGCTCCTTTACAAGGCGGTTGAACTAAGCCCGGTCCCCTCCTAGCAACCAGCCTAGAGCGAAAGGAGACTAGAGATATCCGCTAGCAACGCGAACTGTATGTCACTAAGCCTAGAGCTGGCTTTTTACCGAGAAGCATACGTCGCCTTTTGCCCCAGCCTGAGAAATAAGCTATTTGAGTCTGCGCGTCGTCAGGTGTCAGTTCAGCAAAACAGCAGAATCGCTTAGATATCTCGGCTGGCATGGGCGGGATCCAAATTAAGTGGTCATGTGGGTATCAAAAGATGCCTGTCGCCACTGCATCATCCACCTGTTGTCCCTATTTGCAGGAAGAAAAAAAATCAAACGTAGACGTACCTCAATGACGATATGACATCGGTCGAGTTTCGACGGTGTCACGTGAAATAGGAAGGATTCAGAAAAGGAGGCATCACCAGATGATGAGCTAAGTGACGAGGATACGGACGAGGATGAGGGCTTCGATGATGTGCTGAAACTAGAATTTGTGCAGACATTGTCAGAATACAAATGTTCGGCTTCTTGTCCAAACAAATTGCTATTTGAAAAATTCAGTCAATACGCATTTTCAAAAATAATACGCGCAGTCCCCCTGTTTGACCATACTCATTCACTGATTCATCTAGCTTTCCGCGCTGGTCGCATAGGCGGATGCATGGGCGGAGTCAATGCGCGATCCTCATCTGTGCTTCTCTACTTTCTAAGTAGCTAAACAGAACGGGCACACTACTGAGCAGGGCGCAGTAGTTTTTCATTCCCTCCCTCCCTATCAGCGCAACCTTTAAACTTTCGAAAATTTAGCCTGTAAACTCACTCGATGGAGGATTTGTGACCAACAGAAGGATTAACAGTGGTTTGTTTCTGCTCTAGAAGTCGTCGACCGTCAAAGAGCATAATTCGCGCAAATGGTGCTGAAATTTGCGATATTATCTGAGCGGGATTATGACAACCGGACGATGAAAAATAATGTGGACATATTTCAATTAGGTAATACAGTAAAACA